AATATTAGATTTAGGAAGGAATAATACACAGCGAACAGAAGCCACGGCTTATCATAGTGGTGGATGATACATATAGGGGCTTTTAAAAGTGATTTTCCAACATTCTGGTGCCTTGATTTTTTTATTAATTTCCATAAAAAAGGTACACACTTGATATGGTTGGCAGGAAAAACATGTTTTAGAAGCCTCAGAAACAAAATGAACCTAGTTGGAACTGGTGGATTTTTACTTTTTATTTATTTATTTTGCTTGTTTAATAGTTTTTCCTAGTGGTGCAACTTTCATGGCGCCTTTCAAATGCACCAGCACAATGCGTCTTCCTGGCTCAGTGCCCCTCCTGCGCGGGGTGGCGAGGCAGCTGAAGAGCTAGATAAAGCTCATTTCAATTCCCACTGATTCTATTTGGATGGACATTATTCTTGATGTGGCTGCACTGGTTCTGCATAAATAAACAAACAAACAACTAAATAAATTAAGGAGATAGTCACACATCAAACCCTAAGGAAATAAATATAGCCCAAGACGATGTTTGAGGTTCACAAATTGCCATGGATAAATCACCATTTTTCAGAGCAGATGGATTAGAACACTGACATTCTAATTCTCCATGCTGCCTTGCCTCTAATTTGTCTTTTAGGAGTGTTAGCAAAGTGTTACCCACTTGAAAAATGCTCTTACAAGGTTTTGGATTGTCACTACTGCTACTGTTGCTATGTTGCTATGTTGTCAAGATATCTAACATCTGTCACCCCGAAAACTTCTCACAGCCTCCCAGTTCCATGCCCTCTAGCCAGTAACCTGCCGTGAAGAGGAAAATTTGCAAACAAAGTCTTTTTCGCTTTCTCACCTCTACCCCAACTTAGTGATGTCTCCTTTTACTCTCTTTCATTCTCACTCCTAGGAGCCTGCTGACTTGTGGGATCGAAACACTGGGCTATGGACTTAGTCTACTGACAAGAGAGAGGGGAACACACCTCATTACTTTTCTGTTTGTCTCAGTGACCTCTTACTCTTTTCTCTTTGAAATCTCCATCCATCATCCATCCATCCATCATCCATTCATCCATCCATCCATCCATCCTCCATCCATCCATCCATCACTTATCCATCCATCATCCAGATATCCATCCATCCACCCATCCATCATCCATCCATCCATCATCCGGATATCCATCCATCCATCCATCCATCCATCATCCATCCATCATCCATCCATCATCCATCCATCCATCATCCATCCATCCTCCATCATCCATCCATCCATCCATCCATCCATTATCTATCCATCCATCCATCACTTATCCATCCATCCATCATCCGGATATCCATCCATCCACCCATCCATCATCCATCATCCATCCATCCATCATCCATCCATCCTCCATCATCCATCCAACCATCCATCCATTATCTATCCATCCATCCATCATCCTGATATCCATCCATCCACCCATCCATCATCCATCCATCCATCCATCCATCCATCCATCCATCCATCCATCATCCATCCATCATCCATCCATTCATCCATCTTTTACTGTATGTCTAGTGTAAGCTGTGATTTACCAGGAATCCTACCTCTACGTGATTTATGTTCTAACAGGGAAGACAGTTACAATTATGATTTAAAAAATACACATCACACCTGCTAAGTATGGAGTTAATGGAAAGCTCAGCAAGGGAAGTTGGAAATGATTCTACGGGGGAAGAGACATAATGTGGAGCCTCAGATTCCAACAAGGCGGTTAATTTCTTCAAAAATATTTATTGAGTGTTGCAAACCGGGCACAGGAGAAGCTGCTAGTGATGCAGAGGTGAGCGGGAGGATGTGAACTGCTCTGGTGGGGTGCAGAGCTTCATGGGGTTAGCCTGTTCTGGGCTGGGCACAGGGAGAATGTTCTAGCAGAGAGAACATGTGTAGCGGGGCATGGGGGAGAGAACCAGTTGCATTATAAACACGGAACATTCCACATGACCAGGGTTTGAATGTCAGTCAGGAGGGGACCCCTGGTGACCCTTAAATACCCTGAACGAGGGAGCTGGGAGCAGGTACATAGCAGACACTTGACTCTTGGGAGGCGGAGAAGGGGCATCAAATCCCTCTCAGCATCCCCGACAGAAAAGGAAATGTCGAACACAGGCAGCAAGCCCCAACCACTTGGAGATAATTTCCTTCTCTTTCATAAACATAGTCATGATTATAATGACCTTTCACGAACAGCAGAGGGGCTGCTGAAAAAAATGAGGTATGTGAGAACAAAACCCATCTACCTGACGGCCATGTAGCTTTCGCTGAGTCACCAGAGCAAGCATTTTCAGCGTGCGTCAGAGATGGCCAAGAGCGGAGGTATGCTTGGAAACAGTTCACAAAAGCCCTGCATGAGGAGGCCAGAGATTTGGGTGACAGGACGTATCCTGAGAGTCACTTCTTCCCCCGTCGTTTTATGTCACTCTGTTTTGCAGCCATTCCAGCCCGGGGTACTTAAAGGAGAACCCTGGAGTCCTTGGCTTCGTGGTGCACAGGGGAGACAAGCAGGCAGGAGGACAGCAACTTGGGCCCCGCGAAGCTTCATACCTGCTTTCCTCTGGGCTTCCTCTCAGCGCAGATGTCTCTCGTGGCCACTCGTCGCCGAATGACTCCGCCCTCACAGCCTCGGCGCCCATGTTCGGGTGAGCACGCTCACGCACGCATGCACGCCCATCCCTTACTCCGGTGTCCACCCTCAGGCATGCGGACTCCACGCCCACACCCCAAGTGCCTTCTGCACTCAAGGCTGCAAGTGACCGCCACAGAGGCCAGTCCAAGTGCCTACTGGGATTGTCGACCCCTAGAGGAAAGTGTAAAGAGGCTCTCAGGTTACAAACACCCCGCGAGGTCCCAACCGGCTCACACGCTCAGCTGCTGGCTCATCTTTGGTCACCCCATGTTCACTGGATCCTGTGCAATCGAGTATGTGATAAAGCCTATTAACTGTGCCGTGAATTCCATGCAATTCACCTAAAATGAAGGCTCCCTAGGAACCCAAATCTCCTGTGGGCACTGATTCACACAACATTCTGGAGGTGTGAAACCCTAAATAATTGGCTGACGGCAAATCAATGTTTTTTCCTTGAGTAGCAACAACCACTGCTCTTACGCTTCCCAGGCTTTCACCTGGATCGACTGCACGTCTCAAGGGCCTGGTTTTCTCTGCCGGGCTGATCCTAAGTTACTGGATCATCTGCTCGAAATATACGCCGTCAAATGCATCTAAGGAACACATTTGGTCAGCAGCAAAGAGCTGCCTGATTCTGCCTGCCCTGTGCCTGTCATTTGGCTTAGGACAGAGCCCCTCACTAGCAGAGCCACAGAGTGTGCAGGGCCAGCTCTGCACACTCAGGTTGGGGCACTTCTTAGCCATCTGCGGGTGCCAGAACCACACCCTGCTGCTCTGAGGCCGGCCGAGGCGGCCGCACGACCATCGTGGGCATCCCGCGAGACACTGGGTCTCGAGCAAGAACATTCACTGACGTGCTGTCTGCTCTAGGGCCTGGGGGCTTGGAGGCAGTGGGGCTACCTGCCTCAATTTTCCCTGGGGGTCAGGGGGCCCCCGGAGGTGTGAGTGAATTACAGCAATTTTGTCTTTGCCCAGGATGATCTATGAAATCTGCCCTGGACCAGCATGCCCCCCAATCCTGCTCTCTGGGGACGCAGCCCCCAGGGCTTCCGGACGATGAGGGCGAAGTACATCCCAGCCAGTGACTGCTCACTGGTCAGCAGGATCAGCCTGGCGGTCGTGGGGATTTTCTGACATGCTTAACCTCAAACATCTATGGCATCAGTATCAGCATTCAGCTACTGCTGGCAAGAGGCCACCAAGCAGCCCAGGAGATGCACCGGGAAGGTAAGGAATGGAAAGAAGAGCAGAAAAACTCGGGAGTGGAAAGCGAAGGCTGCCACGAAGGACCCGGCCTTGGGGGCAACTTAGAAATCTGGCAAAAATCAGATATTTTGGGGCTCTGTGCCGATTCCTGAAACTTCTGGGTTCCCTGTTGCTGCCAGTAGCTTGGAGGAAGTGACTTGGTCCACTTATGAATAAACATTTATGGGTCCTCCCCGGGGCACAGCGGGGTAAAGCACAGCATGGAGAAGCTAAAGCCACCTCAGCATGAGTTAGATCCCCGCCTGCCCCGGAGGTGACCCCCAGGGCGCAGCAGACCTCTCCTGACCCGCCTGCTGCTCCCCTCAGCAGTGGACTACATCAGTCTGCCTGTTCTGCTCCCCACTCTGTCTCCGATGAAGCCTCTCACCGCCCATGCACCCCTGGCCTGCACCCCAGTTCTGTATGCATAAATGAACATTTGTAATAGATCTCTAGTTCTCGCTCAGTTCTCACTTCCACCTGCCCTGTTCTCCTCCGTCTCAGTCACATCCTGAACGCTCTGCATACCTGTCTATTTATACATATATATATGCAACAGTTCTGGGGGATGACAGAATGGGGTTACTCAAACGGAAAAAAAGAGGACGTCATGGAGACATCTGAATGATAATCTCGACGGAGAGGAATGTCATCTGCTTACAGCCCAGCCAATAAAACTGGGCCATTTAGGGCTGCGGGGGCAGGCAGAGGGGCTCACCCCTTACTTCATCCGTGTCCCAGGGGAAGGCTGCCCGAGCTTCAAACAGAAGGCTGCAGGCTGGCTTTCCGCACGGGACTGCCTTGTAACGGCGCCTCCCTGTGCAGGAAAGAGAACTCCTTGGACAGAGAACCAAGACCACTGCTGGCGCCTGGTCTGTCATCACAGCGGCATCTCTCTGCACAAGGACGTGCTCAGCCTTCTGATTTCTGTTTCATGTTTGGCCCGTCAGTGCAGCCGCGTGCTGTGAGCCTGGCTGACCCTCCGTGAACTCGGGCAGTGCATGGGGACTTCCTAAGGTCAATCGAAGGCTGTGTCCTTCTCCAACTGCAGGCCCCAAAGATCATCAGAAATGAAAGGACAAACAGATAGCTTTCCCGTAAAGAGCATATCGTGTTGATTTATTATAGAACGCAGTTAAAAAAAATATCTTGAGGTTAGCCTCTCCGGTTGAAAAGCACTTAACTAGAACACTTGAACAGCTACACGACGCTCTCCCATCCCGACCCCCGCCCCCAACCGGTACTGTAAACAGGGTTTTGAGAACATTCAGTCGATTCCTTGATATGAACAACCCAACACACTTGCTTCTCAAAGAAAACCATCTTCCAGATTTCCAAAGCATGCATTGTTTACTCGGCATTAGGCATTTCAAAACGACAAACTCTGTTATGTTATGGTATCGTAAGGCCAAAATGTTACACTATTTACCAGACACCACATTACGACTAGGAAGGAAGTCACAGACGACGACCTCGTGTAACAACCGCGTGGGAGGTGAAGGAGAAAGGCACTGTAGCCCTCGAACACCAGCACACACTATTTCCACTTCACATGCGTTGAATTCAAGCCCCGTCAAACATCTGAACAGTGTTTGTTTTTTTTAAAACAACATACAATTCACAGGTAGGTTACTACATCTTACACTATTTTTCCACTGCCATATTTTCCACCCAAGGGTACAACAGGTATGAGTAAATACGATCAGCTTTATTTACAGGTTTATCTTGATGGTTTTGTGGGGTTAAAAAACCAAAAAAAAAAATCAGCTCTCCTAACCAACAGGTCCTCCCAAGAGGCGTCTGACTACGACGCCCGGATACAAGCCATCATGTAGGAGAAATGATAGAAAACTTACGCCTGACCCCAACCCCTAAAGGTTCTCATCCACGAAAAGTTGGCAGTGAAACCGCTGTTCTCTGGATTTTAGAAGTGAAACCCTACGCAGGAATTTCAGATCAGCTTTTGCAAAAGCACAAGTCGCACACTGTGCCTAAGAGGATGGGGTGGGTGGGGGTTCCTCCTGGTCGCATCTCACTTGTGGGGGGCTGCTGCACAGAGAGCTGAGACTCTACAACGGTAAGGACTCTGCACACGCCCCCCGGCCTCCGCCAAGGTGCCCCACAGCCATGGCACGATGCTACCTACGGACCAAGGTTAGTTTTGAAAATCGGTAATAACATGCACAGACGTTGGGACACGGGAGGCGAACGATGAAACACTACAGTTTCCACACTGCATTGTGGTTGTTCCCACAACTTTTCTGCGCCACACACTCTGTGGCTGTGCCCGGCGCCTTTTCCAACCGGAGGACCCTGGCCCCGGAAACAGAGTCCCCTGCCCGGACCCACGTCTCAACCTGCCCTTAGCAAACACAGAACCTACCAGGAAAGAACAAGTACAAACACGACCGTCAGCAGTCTTCTGGACGCATCCCCCAAGGCCCAAGTGTGTGACCGCCCCGACTCGGCGGCTGGCCCAGAGGCCGTGGTCATGGGCACAGTGTCAGAACCGGGAGGCCGAACCCCGATTCTCCTCTGGGCAACATGAACTAGAATTCCTGCCACGGCGATCGCCACGGCGACCACCTCCCAAGTTCCACAGTAAAAGATTCCTCCCCGAGCGCGATCTGGGGCGCCTGCAGGGTGCCGGTTCAGTTCAAGTGGATGGGCGTGTACTCCGGCCTGCGGGTCTGGATAATTTTTGGTTTGGGTCTCTTCATCCTCTCCATCTCGTCGTCTTCCTCGTTCTCCTGATCGCTCTCACACACGTGGACCACCACGCTGGGGGTGGTGTCAGTCGCTGCATGCAATTCGTATTTTTCCCCTGGGGAGAGAGAACAACGGCGGGGTCACCCCGGCCAGGCTGCTGGGGGAGAGAGCACCGGGAGCCGCAAGACGCACTCGGGGGTCCCACTGGCCCAGCTTCTGCGACTGATCCCGGGGCTGGCGGGACCCAGCTGGATCCAGCGTTTCTGCGGTGAGTTACCGAGAAAACAACTGTGCATGAATACACACGCGAACGTGTATGTCTAAATCGCCACTGTGTATTACTCTGCTTCCAGTCAGGCATCTGAAAGGTGGGGATGCAATGTGTTGTCAGGTAACACTGCACCTCCTGCCTCCAGGTCTACACCGCCCGCCCCCCCCCCACTCCCCCTCAGTCACTGTGGCTGGACAAGCAGCAGTCAGGCAAAGACCTGCATGAATAAGCAAGTTAGGAGACCTGGCAGGTGCCCCTGGAGGCCCCTGCCGAGTTGGGCAGAGCACATGGCCCCGGGAGCCCGGCGCAGACACAGCCGTGAATGCTCCGTCCAGGCGCTTGGACAAGCTCTCGGCCCCGCTGTCCTCTCCAGTTGGCCCCTGTCGGCCTCCTGAAGCGGGAGGGTCCTGTCTCTGGGTCCAAGCTGCTCTACGTCAGCCTGAGTTGTCCCGGGCTCGGTCGGGTGTGGCTGGCGGGGATGAGCGTCCTGCGCTGGGAGGCGGGCAGGGCTCTGGGCGGCAGGAAGAGCCGCCTCGGGGCTGAGGCGGCAGCGAGGCCAGTGCAGTGGCCAGCACGTGGGCTGTGAGCCCTGCCACCTTGGGCCCGTGGCCGGGGCATGTTCTTTGCCTCTCTGTGTGCCTCAGTCTCCCTCTCTGCAAATGGGGTAGTAAAGGCCTCAGCTGGCTGGGTTGTTCTTAGATGGGTGCACAAAGCTCTTAGCGCACACCGAGTCACCCCCACACCCCTCCACACCCCCGTGTTAGGATGTGAATCTCCCTGGGGCCACTGGGAGAAGCAGGAGTGGAGGGGTCTTAATCAGGGCGCAGGGCTGGCTTCCGCTCACCCTGCAGGGTGTGCACCCCAGGCTCTGTGCTCGTCCAGGCAGGGCTTCCTGCCTCACGCCCTGCTCACTATTCTGCAGGTAGACAGTGTGCTGACCTGCTTAAAGGTGGGTGCTTCTTCTCGCCGACAGTGCTACGGCGACTGCACTTGTGCCTCTCGGGGAGCCTGAGCTCACGCCAGGCGGGAGCCTCTTTATAAACTCAGCTGCCTTCTGATCAAGCACATCCAGAAAGCTCAGGGCTAAGGACCATATTTGCAAAATCTCTGCAGAAACCTGTTGCTGAAGCGCCCCTACGGGAGACACTGCCCAGCCCACTGCGGAGCGAGTGAAGGGCAAGTGGACTCTACTATGTCTGCTTTCTAGCACGATCTCTCGAGAAGCCTCTCTGAAGGACTGGCAGGTGTGGAGAGGGAGGCGTTTTCTTCGTGGTTCTTCTTGCCTCCACGCAGCCTGACGAGCCGTGCCCAAAGGGCAGCACTGTGCACTGCTCTTGCACCCCGCAGACCTGACCCTCAGAGGCGTGGCCGCAACCCTTCCTCCAAGGGGCCGTTTCCACCCTGACCTTCATGCCCGACTGGCAGGAAGTCGTAACACGATTCCTGCTTTCTGCCAGAGGGGACTTCCGGGGAGATGTTTTGGGAAATGTGATCTTTTCCATAAAAAACTGCTGCTGGTCTAAGAAAATAAAACCTTCAAGCGCTCAAAGGGACATCAGCTTGCTGTGGTGCAAGGGGAGCTGCGGGTCTCAGCATTCGTCCTGTCTGCTCCAGGCACAGGCAGGGGGGCGGCTCCGACCTCTACACCCCAATACCCAGCGGTGCCCGCGCTCACCCCAGTCCCATGGGGCACAGCTGCCGCCGTTTCGCTGTTTCTAAACCTCGGTCTTGAGCGCCGTCGCGGCCGGGCACTGCGTTTTACACCAGGACCTCACCCGCTGCTCCGACCCCAGCAGGTCTCCCCACTTTGTGAACAGGCAGCTGAGGCCTGGTACCCGTGTCCCCCACTGCTCCTCGAGTCCTTTAGAGGACCGCCCCTCTTCCTTTCCAGAGGCGCAGTGGGGAAGCACCCCTAGGGACCCAGAGGGGCCCATTTTTCACTGTGGTTTTTGCTGCTCCTCTGCATATTCCAGAGGCCAGAATCAGGTCATCCATGGGGTGACTTTGACTAAAAATGCAGTTTCGGGTGGGGGGGTCTGCTTTCCCCTTCCCATGCTCATCCCCACTTGGGAAAGAGGAGAGGAGGCGAGACTGAGTCTGACCACCCTACAGGCTGTGCTCGGTGGTGGAGGGCTGTTCTCACACCGACCTTCTAGGCCCCCCTAAGAACAAAGCCAGAGGCAGGCTGGACGCTGCCGGCCAGAGTGATAGGCAGGACGGGGATGGAGAGAGCTCAGGAGCGGGTAGGTGGGTCCAGTATAACCCTCGGTGCGTCCTCACCTCCCTCCCCACCTGCAAGCACCGCTCACCTGGCCCGAGCTTGGAGATAGCATATAAAAGATCATAATTTATGACGGGCGTGGCGTCTTCCACTTGCTTCCAACCAACCGGCGGAGAGGCGGGAGGAGAGATCAGAAACTGCTTGTCAGGATTGGGGGGAGCCAGGTGTGAGCTTCCTATGTGCAGAGTCTGGGGAGACAAAGACACACGAGCGGCATTTAATGACCTTTCGGGAAGACGGGGTGAGAGGACAGGCCCAGCCGGACGCCAGACCCGGGATGGCTCAAGGAGGACTCCTGCAAGGTCTGTGTGGGGCACTCAACGGCGGTGTGGACTCTGGCTACGGGCCGACACGGTGGGAGCCCTTCCCAGGACTGGGAACCTGCGGGTGCCGGACTGGCCGTGGTTAAACTAGCTAGGAGGAGGGACGGCGTTAGCTAAATAGAAAAAATAGCGCCACTCTCGCCGAGGTCAGAGGGCTGGGAATATTCACCTCTTCTAGCTCCGTAACACTAAAGCTGAGAGATGTCTTTTTCCCAGGGGCAGCAGGAGCGCGAACCCGGGACTCTTGCCCACCACTCTCAGGCTTCCTGGTGCAGGGCTGGGCACTGCCCCTGGGGTTGTGCATCAGATGCCAAAGGGAAAAAAGGAAAAAGCATCCATCTTCCAGAAGGTCGTACAAGAAGGCGATAACTATGGCCTAGCTTGGCTTTGCAGTGACGCTGGCGATTAGGGGTGTGTGCAGAAGGAGCATACTTCCAAATCCTAGGAGTTGGGGGTTTTCTTTGTACAGCTGGCCCTGAACAACTTAGGGGTGCCCACCCGCCCATGCCAAGCCGCAACTCTGAGGATAACGTTGGATCACCGCAAAACCTAACGCTTGTGTGGCTTGGTACCTGCTGGGCGGGCGTTCAGGCCTCCCGCCACACCCAAACCCTCCAAAGCCTGAATGCCTCACAGCGCACACCCCGTATCCGCGGGCTCCAGGTTCGAATCTGCGGATGCCAAGCCACACACCCTCCCAGAGTAAGTCCTGTCTAACTGGATCTCGGCAGTTCAAGCTGTGCTGTTCCAGGGTCCACTGCACTTTAATCTTCCTCTCCCTGCCCAAATCTTCACGATGAACACGCGTTAAATTAATCATCAGAAGTCGCCAAGGACCAAGGATTATTTAGCCAGACTCTGCCCTCCCCGGGGGCAGCGGAAGGCCCAGGTTCACGCGGGCCTGAGGGCAGAGCCCCGCCTCCGCCCGCCGCCAGGGGGCAGTGCGGCCCAGCAGTAAGTCCACCCGGATTTGCATTGAGGAGTGGGCATCTGATGTGCTGCCCATCGGCCAGCCTCTCTGCAGGGCCTGCTGGCTCCCCATCCCGGGGTTGGGGAGCTCTACTGCGACTGCCTTCAAAGTGGGTCCCCCACCACCGCAGGTCCCCTGAAGAGGATGAGGTGGCGGAAAGCCCTGGACAGCCCTGGACCCTACTCACAGGAGAACTCCTGAGCCGTGGCAGCCTGGAGGATCCACTTCCCCTTCCAAGCCCAGCACAGCCTGTGTGGCGGCGCGAGGGCTGCAGTTCCCCAGCCAGTGAGCGTGTGGGTGACAAGCCTCAGAGAGCAAGGAGCCCCCTGGTCCACTCTGGGGACCAAGCCATTGGCCTCCTTCTTCCAGCAAAGTCACAACCCCCGGCTGTGCTCACTAACTGTGTCCACACACCCCACCTGACAATGTCCCTGAACAGGGACAGGCATCTCCTGTCTTTTCTCCACACAAGCTTGAGGACGGGTTCTTTTCCCTGTTATGATTAGTAACAATAATTAAGTTATGCTTATTGCAGTAATAATGTTGGTCGGCAACACCATGTGTGATTTGGGGGTTCAGGCTCTCTCTCTTCAGATGTCTAGATTCTCACGTGCTCAGCACCAAAGCTCCCCCAAACCCAGCCCAGCTGAGGGGTCAGTTGAGGACTCTTTCCAATCCTCCCTGGAATGTTCTTTAAATAGGTGAGACCCTGAATAACAAGCTGTTATTTTCTCAGGATAAATTCTGGGGTGCTTAATGGAGTGTGTGTACAATGTAACCAACGGCCCCACTCACCTGAGCAAAATATAATTTCATTTCCTTTCCCAGAAATTCAGTCTTATGCAGCTGGAGTCTGGCATCTGCTGCAGATAAGGGGTTGCTGAAGTTTATTCTGACTCGCTTGAAGCTCTTAAAATACTGAAAGGTGATGTCCTTGTCATAGGTCCGAAAGAGTGCCTCAAATTTGGCCTGAAAAAACAACAAAAATAAAAGGAGTTAAAATGACCCCTGAGTCACTGCATCATCGCATTTCTCACTGAGGAAGCGAGTTGTTCATTTCAAGAACACCTGATTCCTTTCTGAGAGAAGACAGAGAATCACCTGTCCGCCTTGAGATTCTGCCTTTCTTTATTCTGCTACAGGGGGTTTCATGAAAATGCAAGAACGTATGATTTACCACACTCAGTCAGTCAGCAGAACAACGGCCAATCTCTACACACTTCTTAGCGTCACAGAAACACGCTTTATGAGGTGGCTCTGGCATCTTTCCAAGAGATCATTTGTTATCCCTCTGGCCAGAGACCACACTGCGCATGACTCCCCTCCCACCCCTCACCCCCTGCCCCTTGTCTAGGGAAGTCAAGTCCAGGGCGCTGCTGTGTATAGACATCAACTCTGGGGCTTAAAAGCTTTGCAGCTAATTTGAAAAAAATAAAAATGACTGACTTGGAAGACAATGAATAAAGGTGCTTACTGTAAAGGAAGCCAACAGCCCACTACTGTTCTCCCACTCACTTTGTTACTTTTTAGCCTCCAAAATAATACTGTTTTTAAAGAGGAACACCCTGCAAGGGGCCCACCTCCGCTTGCTGGCTCACCCCGCTTTACTGCTCCCAGGGCCAGCAAAAATGAGATTGCGATGCTCAAAGGGCAAGTTCGGGATGTGAGTGCGAGTTCAAGGATTGCTTGTCTCGGGTCAGGAAAGAAATCGGCCAGCCTCTTGGGAAAAGCCTGGGGCGGGGGGGGGGGGGGGGGGGGGTGCTGAGCTGGGAAGCCGCTGGGCTCCCTCCCAGAGAGAGGGTGGTGCTGCACAGCAAAACTTTCAGAAAGCTTCCTGGGCTTCCAGTCTGCAGGTTTTCTGAGCCTTTCCCCCAGGTCAAACCCCAAGGACAGATTGTGGGGACCAGGGAATGGAGCGGGGCCACCAGAGTTGGCCAGGGAAGCTGACCGCTGCACAGGGGGGTGCAGAAGAGGTGGCTA